GACACCTGGAAACAGATTTTTCTTTTTATTTCTTTAAAATATTGGACAAGTACTCTGCTCTKTAATAAGAGGTCTCAAATCTGACTTGCATTTCTAGGTACATTTTAATTGTCAGTCAAGATGGATATCCGAGGTGCTGTAGATGCTGCTGTCCCAACAAACATCATTGCTGCCAAAGCTGCTGAAGTTCGGGCAAACAAAGTAAACTGGCAGTCGTATCTCCAGTAAGTAAAAACTTTCCACTTTTTTTTTTTATCCTCTTAGGTGTTAGACTTTTTGAGATTTTAGGCTACAGTGGAGCACTAGGTTGCAATGAAGAATGTCCKGTCTATGTGGAAGTAGTTGGAAAAWAKCTGCTTTAAATGGAAGTGGTTGTGGAAAATGTTCTCATTACCAGAAGGGGAACTTTGCTGTTGTCAACTGAGTGCTGTAATAGCGTGGTAAAACTGGCTGGGTTTTTTTTTCCTCATAATTCAAACACCAGTGTCAGTTTTACCCTTACGGGACGACTACTCAATTAATTAAAAAAGATTGCAGTAATAATTGTCTTATGTGTAGGTAGGGTATCTCTAYTGCTGAARTGCTTTTTGTGGAAATGCAAATTGYACTAGCAAAACTGGAATGGTAGTCCAGGAAAATAAGGGATAAGTAAAGGAACAATAATACTGGAGGACAGCTGAAACAAGGAAATTGGGGAGTAGGCTGAAATAAATACTTCAGTCTGGGGAAAGATGTGTTGTTGTTTCAGGCAAGCTCAGAGTTTCCTTTGGCATGAATATGATAGCACTAGGAGTAGCAAGAGAAATATTGTCYTAAGAGGACAGGGACAAGCTGAGGAAAAGATTTATGGGTGAGGTAGGAAATGGAATGAAGAAACAGACTTTCACTAGCCCTCTACACTCCGAAGTGAAATGCAACATTCTTCGAACCTATTTGTGACAGGTGTGTATGAAAAATATTGATCAACTACTATCTCCTGAGGATCCATGTGTAATAGCAAGTTATTCCATTGTTCATTGCTTTGTAACTAAAGTGGTAGAAATCTTCATGATTGTAGAGGTACAAACCATTGCATTGTCAGCAATGCTTTGTGAATATCAACATTATACCACTTAAAAATAGTGTTTTTTGAGATTGCTGTGATGCATATATAAATATCATTTATTAAAATAACCTTGCAGAACTGTACATATATTAGCTGAGAAATGCTAACGCAGTGGAAGCTTACTAATGACTACCTGCTTTGCCCTGTCCTGGTATTTCAGACTTGCTTATTCCATTGAATTGTGTTATTCTTTTCAATGTGATTGTATATGTGCTGAGTCTGGAGAAAGGAACTGATCTTCTGAGGAACTTTTTTTGGCTAGGCTGTTTTTAGGATGGATCAGTTCCTGGTTCAGTGTATAGTATGATACTCAGTGGCTTTGCAGGCATAAGAGAAAGGTTTGGGTGGTAACTTGATGGTGGCAGCTCCCAAACACTTTCCAAACATTCTAAGTGCTTTTGCTGTTACTGTGTGCCCTCTTCTCTGTTTGATTGATGTGTGTCCCAAGGGTACCTGAACTGCTGTTCCTGGGCTGTCCTAGTGGTGAGTGGACAGATAGTTTGCAGTTACTCAGGATGAAGGTGGGAGTACAGTTGCTCACTGTTCATGGAAGTGAATATGTGACTCTTTCACTGCCTCTCTAGTGTTTCTGCAGGGCTGGTAAGATTAATCTGTTGCTTTTGTTAGTATAGGGGATGGTTCTATTTGACAAGGAGTTGTATTTATGTAATATTATTTGTTTGACTGTGTGGTCTACCGTTAATAATATTCATTCATTCTTGGGATTTTCTTTCTCTGGTATTTTACAGGAAACAGGGAGTTTCGTTTGTGAATCTGTCAGAAAATTTTTATATTACTTCCTTTGACTAGAAGGCAGACTTCTTTTTCAGATTTTACCTGAAGAATTTGTTTTGTTCTGGAATCTATAGAAAGAAGACTATATGAATTAGCCAGTTTTTGGAGGGTATTGTGATGCATCTGGCTTTCTTTTGTGATCCTATGAGAGGAGGAGTGAGACTTGATGCTTGGTGTCCTTTGTGTGTCAATAACAGTGTGTCCTCTTTTTTACTGCTCTGAAATAAATTTTATCTTTGTGTCTTATATTTACTGATAACAGCCTGGCTGTCTAAGATGGCTTTAAGGATTGACTTAAATAGTGCCAGAGGGATTGTGGAGTATCTTGAAGATAATGAATTCCTTGGCTGAGGAGTTTATTTATAAATAGTTATTGAAAAACATCAGCAGAACTTTTGGTGCTTCTAAAGGAAATAAAATCATACCTCCTTTAGGACATATGCTTTTTGGATGTGATGATGTCTTTGAGGCTGAGCTTTAAGGGATTTCTTGGAAATTCAGTGCAGCTATATTGGTTCATTTCTGGAATGACGCGCATTATTAAATGAGTGGAAGCTACTTTCTGTAGGAATTTAGAGGCAGGTCAGAGTGGTTCAATTTGCTCTGATTTGTAGGAGGCAAATGGGGTTCTTGGAAGGACAATTCTCTTGAGCTCCTTGTTCTGACAATCTGTGCACTTACTGTGGTAAACTTGAGRATAAATTTATGAAGGTGTAACTTCAAATCAGCAGGGGTTTTTAAATTAGAAGAAATATTTTTGTTTTCTCTAAGTTAAGACCTCAACTCAAGTGTGACATAATTTATCCTTCTTAAACTAAAGATGGTTTCTTCAAGTACATAAATACTATAGATAGTATTATGTAGTTGAAGTCACAGAAGTTCACAAGAAAGTCTGATGAAATTTTTTTCCCCTCAGTATGACAGTTGTRTGCATTAAAGATTGCATCACTTGCCACAGCATTGGAGTCTGGGTCACACAGAAGGACATTCTGTAATTCTTTTTTGCTCTCTCTGTTCTTCAGTGCAAAAGTAAAATGGCTTACTGGTAGTTGGTCAGATTTCAGTAGCCTGATTTTTCTTGTAGAGCCAGTTCAAGCTAAAGATTAACTGACGTAGTTAGTCCATCTCTGAAGGTTGTAAGTGTAAACTAAATACCAAACTGCACTAACACATAACTGCTGACTTATGATGTTTTTTCTGTATACTGTTGGCACAAAAGTGAAATATTTAGTTATGAAATTGTATGTATTACCAGTTTGCCAGTGTGTTTGTTCACTTCTCCTTACAAAATTRGGCTGTGGAAAAAGATAAGTTATTTTCTGGTGCTAAAATTTACCTTTTCTTTGTATTGAATTCCAGCTGGGGTCTGTGTCTGAGGGAGAAAAATGAAGTAAGCTTACAACAGTGGAAGGTGATGTGTAGGTCTGCCTGAGTTCTGGAAACTAAATGTCATTGAGGCAATTAGTTCTGTATGGATTTTGCTGCCTTTGGATCTTGAGATTTATAGCAGTTTAGTGGTGTTGATGCCTTCTGTGACTTGAAAATGCAGTAAGTGTCCATTGTGCACTGTATGGTTGCTTTCAGCATTTGCCTCAGGGTGTCAGAATGCCAGGGAGGTGTGTTGGCTTGCTTGAAGCAGCTTTGGGTTTACCTTCCTAAGGTACTAAACGAGTTCTGTGGAAAAAGGAACTTTTTTCCAGTTTAACTTGCATCTTACTGCACTGTAGGTTTTCTAGATACTCAGCATTTGGAGTACTTTGTATTTAATCAGGTGGGATATCTGATAACTAATTAGTATGTAACTTCCCAAGTGTTTCCRAAGTCTTCACATGCATGTTTGTGAATTCTGATACTAAATTATCTATTCCATTTTCCTGGAGGTGGAGGAGCCTTCTAAAGTGATTTAAATATCTCAGAGTTTAAAAGTCAGTCTGTTAGAAGGAATGTAGAAATTTCCTAATTTGTAGTGTGGGGTTTTGGTTTGTGTTGTTTTTTTTTTTTTTTTTTTTTTTTTTTTTTCAAATCTGGTTGAGTCTTGTAGAGTACATTCGGTCTGTTTTACTGTTTTAATTTTCTAATGTTAAAACTGTTGAACAATTGGATAAATAGTGTTTCTGGGTGCATGCAAAGTACTGTAGGTACCTGGATAAAAGATATTATGCAGTGATGTTATGGCTTCATGTGAGTTCTTCACTCATGTGAGTTTCATTTTTGCAGCACACAATTTTTTTTTTATATTAACATCCCCAGAAGCAGCAGCAACAACAAACCCAAAACAAAAACCAAMCAAACAAAAATACCCTAATCTCTGTAGTGTCTTTTGTTAAATCRTTCAAACAAAAAAAGGAACAAGAGCTGCTGGAGGAAATGCATAATTAAAAGAAGGAATCACAAGTTTCTGAGTCATATTGAGAGATCAGGATGTTTTAAAAATGGTGGTCTTGCAAATTCATGCTTTCTAAATCTTAGAGTTTCAGTTTTGTTGGCTGTGGCAAGTGCTCTCAGGCACAGAGCTTTAGAGGTGCTTACTGGGGTCCTGGCCTAAACCTGTTATGCTCAGACAGGAAGAAAAAAAAAARGAAAAWT